GGCCTGCAATACTTTCAGAGCTACGAAAATAGTGCCATTGAATTTTTCTAAGCTAATCAAAAATTGTTACCGGTTTTGACACGGATAATATTTTCAGTTCCAGCGACATCCGTGCCATCAGAATGCTTATTTAGTTTAACCGGTTCAATAGATACGGAGCTATGGAATAGGCTTGCGCCGAGCTTATTAAAGCAGTTAGGTTTTATTAAAGAAAACAAGTAAGCAAAAACATTTACTTATTAAATTTTATTTTAGTAAAAGTATATTTTCTAAATCTTAGTAATTCAAAGCATTGTATTTTTTTTTTTTTTTTTTTTATTAAACAGCTTAATTAATTTTTTACAAACGGCTTGATAAATGACAATATGTTTTCTGCTATACTCTTTTCCATTCTGGAAAAAACACCAATATCCAATCATTGAGCTCCATCAGGGCAGGTGCAAGTAGGTGTGACGTGGTGGAGTGTCATTAAAATTTTTGTTGAGTAAAAAATTAGGTCCTTGATTTTTGAAGTTCGATGACTGACCTGTCTAAAAGGTCTACATTTGCCGGCTCCTTTAAAAGGGTTATTTTTGCCAATTAAATGCACAAAAAATGCATTGAGGAAAGTGTGTGTGTGTGTGTGTGAATAATTCGTAAATTTAAATAAGCTTACCCCATCACTGAATGGTTTAGAATTTGTAACTAAGGACGACTAGTTTCATAGCTTGCAACAGTAGCATTTACGGTTATGATATTGCCTTTTTTTAAGAAATCTTGTAGTATAACCAACTAATTATAAGTTTGATTGTTATATCTTTCCTTAACTTGACGAGAATCTTTATGAACAAAAAAGTTATTAAAAGAGAGTCTACTGTTAACTTTCTATGAGTGATTATAGATAAAAATATATCATGGAAATATCATATTAAATCTATTGAAAATAAAATCTCCAAAAATACTTCAATGCTATATAAAGTTAAACTTTTTTTTAATACGGAGTCTTTTAAAATTATATATTTTTTATTTAGGGAGAGTTGGGGCACAGTGGGTTGGATTTCTTTCTTTTTTAATTTGAGTGAAAGTTAAAATATATATTTTATCTTTGTCAAGGCTAAAGGATTGAGAAATATGTCCTTCATGATAAGAAATCACTAAAACCTAAATATTTATTATCTAACAGCTCACAGAAAGGTTTAAAGTGAGTTGTGTTAAAAGATTCACTGTACCCCAGTACTGGGGTACAGCGAATCAATTAACGCATCTGCAATTTAGTGGTAGTTAATGGGGACGTAGCGAAATAATTTTGAGGATGAGGGTGTAAATACATCGTACACTATACTTTTGGCGCACTTTTGGTAATTAAAATTAAATAATTTAAATTTTTTCCGATTGAAATAATAAAGAATAAATTTTATTGATAACAAAACTTATGCAACCATCTAAAATCACAAAAAAAAATTTTACCTAATAAAACATAACATAAAGATGGTAAGAACATTTACTTTAGTTAGCTAAAAACATAAATTACCTACCAAAAACCAAGAGTCAAAAATTATGTGATAACACCTATAAATAAAGATGGGTTATATATCCGCACATAAACTGATTACATCATCGTGATGAACAAAATCATAATCTTTGAGAAAATGCTTCTTATTCACAGTGCCCCTCGATCCACTATACCCCGACCCCTATTCATAGTTATCTTTCCTATTGTAATCTTACATGGGGAAGTACCAATCATGGGAAGCTCAAAAATATTTATAACAAACAAAAACATGCATGCAGGATTATATTTGGCGTTAACAGAACTGTTAATGATAAATCTCTTTTAAAGAAACTTAATGTGCTTAATGTTTATAAACTTAATATATACCAAGTTATGCTTTTTACGTTTAAATCATAACATGCGTTATCTCCTTATATATTTCACTCTTACTTTGCAGAAATATCTCATTAATACCCAACTGGTTATTTCGTTATTCCAAGATCTTATTTAAAACTCAATTCATTTCAAATTCAATACAGTGGACCATTTATGTGGAAAAAGTTTTTAAAAAACATTATTAAAGATAAAATTCTTCTAAACATGAAGTCATCTGTTCAGTAATATTTTACTATGTATAGTTGCTAACTATATGTATTATTGTATTATATATTTATTTTAATTTAGTTCTTATTTCTTTTTTATTTCTTTATTTATTTTTATAGCTTAAATTGTTCTTTTATTTTTAATACATATCGATAAAATTGGTTTTGTTAATTATGAGATCTTTTAGTTTTTTCTTCAGAGCAATAAGATTATCCAGTTTAGTAAGTTCTATATTTTGAGGTATTATTTTGTTGTATAAATAGGGGCCTTCCTCATTGTAAATTTTATTATACGGCAAAGAAAAAGACAACAATTAAAAAAAAAAAAAAAAGAAAAGAAACTGGTTAAGTTTTTTAAATGTTATGAATCATTATAAAAGGTTTACCAGCCGATACCCATGGTAAATTAATTAGGCCCCCGGTTATTTAGTATTATTACACAAATAAAACTTAAGGTATTAAAATTGCATTTATAAGTTATGCTTTTAAAATTTATAGCGTTAATTGAACGTTATTTTTTTTGAAATAAAGTTAACTTTCTAAAAAAAAAAAATTTTTCGAAATAAATTAAGCTTTTCGAAATATAATTTCATTTTCAAAATTAATTTAGCTTATCAAATATCTTTTGGTTTTTTTCGAAAATAATTGCACACTTCGAAATTCTTTTTTTTCTTTCGAAGTTAAGTTTACTTTTTGAAACTCTTTTTTCTTCTTTCGAAATTAATTTCACTTTTCGAAATTCATTTTTTTCTTTCGAAATTAATTTCACTTTTCGAAATACACTTTTTTTTTTTCGAAATTAATTTCACATTTCGAAATTCTTTTTTTCCTTTCGAAATAAATTTCCTGTTTCGAAATCCACCTTTTTCTTTCGAAATTAATTTCACATTTCTAAATTACTTTTTTTTTTCGAAATTAATATGGCTAGTTCGATTATTTTCGAAAGTTTTTTTAGATTTCGAAAGAAAAGAAGTATTTCGATAACGTTTTAATCGAAAATTTTCGAAAATTGCAATTTCGATAATGAACCCTAATTATAATACTAAAAGATTTCCCTTTAATATATTCAGAACTTTTGAAAAAAACTATGAAAATTTTCACATAAGATCTTAACATATGACTAGTTTTGTATATTTATATATCGTCGGGGCTAGTGCAAATCCGCGTAACTAGCGTTGGCTACTATATTTGGATATTATTAATTTTAACACCAAATATTTATTGTTGAGATTACAAAAAACATGAATAATACTCTTTATACTAAAATGAACCCAAAATCAGTTAAAATAAAAAATATATAAAGTTTTAAACTTCTCCAGTAAAAAAATGTACTGTAGATACGCGGTATTATCCAATGCTAGTTACACGGTTTTGCACTACACCCGACGATATGTATTTTGAATATGTTAGTAGGTTTTTTTTCGTCTAAATTGTTAGTTTTTATTCATTTTTTATGCAATGATATGTAGAAATAAAAAGAGCAAAAAAAACCAGGTGCAAAAATTTTTCAAATAAAGTTCTTTTACTTTATAAAAAGATGCAAAATAGTATCTTTATAAAGTAAAAAGAACTTTATATGAGAATTTTTCGAACTTTATATGAAAATTTCTTATTAAACTAAAAGATGATAACGGTATGCTTTTGATATATATACTTCTGATGTTTTTTTTTTTCAAAACATTACTATCGATTTATCAATACTATCGATTAGTACTATTTACTTTGAATAAAAGTAGTTTTTGAATAAAAAATGACTATTTTCTGTCTTTCAAACGACATTCTTTCAGGAACTACAAGGTACGGCAATTATTTTTGAGCGTCTTATTTTGTGTAAAATATATTCACTGATTAAGTATACAACGCAAAAAACAAAAGATTAAAAAAAAAAAAAAAAAATTACACATACAAAAAAAAAAAAAAATAGAACTCATTTGTGAAACTTCACTAGTGAACATAGTGAACAACATTATTAAATTCAGTGAATATAGTGAACAACATTATTAAATTCAGTAAACATAGTGAACAACATTATTAAATTTAGAGAACATAGTAAGCTATTTTATTAAATTGTCGTTAGGACATTTCATCACAAGAATGCAAAATATAAACATCTGTTGAGAAGCGGTTTTAATAAAGACATATGTTACTGTGTATTCAATATTGTACCGCATAAAAGTTTTAGCAATATAGTTGATAGTAAATTTTCTTCATAAAATTTGATAGTATTTAATAAAAAATATTTGTAAACCTTAACTTCTAAGGTAGTTTGCTAATGAAAGTAATAACGGATAATATATGATTCACTTTGAAAAATGTAAATATTACTTAAAATAAAAATATACTAAAATTTATCTCAAATGTAATGTTTTTAAATTTAAAATAGATGCTCTATAATAAAGTTTACAGTTTACAAAAGTAAATATTTTTTAATTTAATAACCCTTATAAACATAAATTACATAATTAAACATAAATATATTTAGAAATCGGCTGTAAATTTACAAATTTATAAGTTTGAAAATTTTCAGCCGATTTCCTCTAATTTAAATCGTTTTATAAAATTTTGCTGTTGTTCTTTTTTTATATAAATCTTTAAACAAAAAATTAAATTACTT